AGTAGTCTAGTTCACTTTATTAGATTAAAATATGTTTTCAAGCAAGAAACTAACCATTTTAATTCTCAATTTGTGGTCAGTGTATCCCATTAACGCCTCTTTTGGATAGGTCTTGCGATATTGTTTGAAGATGCATCAGAGCGCTGGCCAGGTGCTACGAAACTGGCCCGTCAGTAGTATTACCTGAAAACGGCATGTAAAACAGCCCTCACATTTCCATACATCAGCAGGCCGCAGTGCAAACCCAGACAACAATGGCCTGAAGGAACCTTTTACTTCCTAGAAAAGTACTTCCTAGGACTGGGCTGAAATTAATTCTTCTTATCAGATCTTCCTGGAGTGTTTTGTTCCATTCTGGGACAGAAAAGAGATCAAGTGTTGACCCTCTGTGGACTACCCCCCCTCTCCTCACTTGCCAGCCTTGTTGACCCGTCTGTGTGTTTGTAGCACTGACCCACACTACCAGATACAGTGTAAACAGAGATGCTATCTGAACACTTATGAGGCTCCCGAGGTAGACTCTTTAGCCTCGTCTCAATACCCCTCCTCGACTCCTCCTTTCCCTCACTCGCGTCCCTTCCTTGCGTCTTAGCTCCGCCTCCGTAAGATGCGAGCGAGAGACGCGAGGAGGTGACGCGAGGACAGAGGAGTCCTCAGGTATTAATTGGGATGTCCTCGTTCACTCAAACGTCACTCTTAAACGACGTCTGTTAAGGATGACATGTGCACAGCTGTATCCCCTCTCATCGGGCTTAACTGAATAACCTTTAGAACCGGCCCATTTGTTGTTAAATATGTATTTAAATGATGAATCTTTCTCTTGTTAGTCAAGGAATTCAATGTATGATGGTTGGTCCTGCTTTTGTGTTCCGTTTTGGTGTAAAATGTACATTTCAATACAATTATAATTATAATAATGTGAAAGCCTTTACTCTGAACATGTGTGTCCTGTAGATCCCCACATTCAGGACTGTGAATTTTAAATCATTTAACTACTCAATATCTTAACACAAAACTATAAAATAATTGTTATTTATCAAGATCTAGCCATTTATGAAATAGCTTTCTTAATAGCTATGTTTTAGTGACGTTCAAGATCATTAAACATGACTTAAATTGTTAGTATAACCTTAAGAAATGAATTGCACATAATAATTCCCACGGAGCTGTGAGCACATGAGCACATTTATGTGACGCTTTTCCACTCATTCTTCCAGTTCTCCGTTTTCCTCTCTTGAAATCGACCAGCTGTGAAGGTGGGGGCTGGGCTTTTATACGCGAGTAGTGAAAACACTTCCGCGTAGTCTGCTCTCGTGTATCCTCCCTTTCGTCTCCTCCCGCACCCCTCCTCCCTGACCCCTCCTCGACTCCTCGACTCCTCCGTGTGCATTTCAGCTATTGGGACGTCCTTCAACATGGCGTGACTTGATCGATTTCCGGGTCAAGTCCCGGAGGAGGGGAAGAGAGGAGTCGAGGAGGGGTATTGAGACGAGCCTAACATCTCATCTCCCCTCCCTCTGAGCACCGGGCTTTCTGGGAAATACTGAGCCTTACCTTTCTGTTTCGTTTTCAACAAGTAACCTTGTTATTAGTGCCTTTTGCAGTACACAAAGAAGAAGGAACTTTTTACTTCTTTCCCTGAGTAACATAGTGAATGTGAACTTGCTCCTGAAGGCAGAGCCATCTTTGTGTGAGTGTGTTCATAAGGATTGATTATTGATTGATGAGCAGCATTGGTTTATCGTATTGTAAGCCTGCCATCAGTGTGTGAAAAGGTACATGTTGTGTGGTCTAAGTGCTTTTAAATACCACCACAAATGCCAAGGTCCCAAACAAGCTGAGCTCATGCTGTAAGGCAGAGTGAACGCAGTGCAGAAACAGGACAGATGAGGAGGTTAACTGTCTTGTCTAACTTATCAAGGGATCTCATTTTAATTGTAATGTTTAAAAGGACACTTTGTCATATGTGTCTGTAACATATAGGCATGGTTTCTGTAGTAGTGCATAATGAATACATAAAAGAAAAGACTCTTCTGTACATAGCACTTTCAAAGGATTTGGCTATTGATATAGGTCTTTTCTACTGTGGATATTTAATTATTTGCATATACAGGTACTTGTTGTTGATGTTTATTTTTGTACTTTATTCTATTTGTATTTTATTCTATTTTAAATATATATTTCCATGTATGTGCCTTGAATGAAATACTGTGAAAAAAACATTTCCACTTCCAACATGCACTGACTGCACATGCAGATCATCAATATGTCATGTCATGTGGACCAATCAAAAACAAGCATTGTTCAACAGTCTTATCCACATAATACAGCATATGTCGCTGTAACAAAGTGTTGTGACTCGACAGTTATGTTAGGTTAAGTTATGTTTTTTACTCTAGTCTTGTGTTTTGAACTTGTCACTTCCTGTTTTTATTTTGAAAGTAATCCTTCCCTCTCATTCCAGATCCCACATTTCCTGCCTTTGTGTGTTTTCCCGCCCTTGAGATTGCTTGTAGAGATGGCAAATCCGGATCCTTTTACGGACTCAGGGTCTTCTGAGTCAGTCATTGAAGAGATCCGGATCATACGAGTCATTTGAGTCATATGAGTCAGCATCACCAAGACCGTAGAAATCCTATCGGTGAAACCGAAAAGTTGTTGCATTTCACGAGCATATTAAACTGACGTTATATTAACCTCCGCTACACAGTGTATTTTGCTTTAATAAAAAATGTTGATCACAAAAAAAAGGGTTATTTTGCGATTTGGCAAATCTGAGTCTGCTGTTGACTCGTGCATGATGACGAGTCTGCTGGATCTCTGGATCTGCTGCTATAAGGTTACGGCTCTGAGTCCGCACGAGTCTGCTATGTTTTGCACAGTGAGTCAGGATTTGCGAATCTGAGAATCTGCGAATCTCTGAGTCTGCTGTTGACTCGTGCATAATATAGCCGCGGGAGCCGGGTGCTGGAGGAGAGGGGCTATGCTCGTGCACATGACGAGTATGGATCTCTGGATCTGCTATGCTATTACGGTTAGGAGCCGTCGGCTCCTCTGAGTCCCCACGAGTCTGCAGGAAGTTTCACTGATCCGTGTCCCCTCCCCTGAGCCAAACGATCACTTCTGGCAGCTATCCTACTTGCTAAAGGGTAGGCAGATGGACTGGGGTACGTTGTAATGTGATTTTAGATGTTATAAAGAGAGTAGCGAGTGACGCAATTTATAGTTTTAATTTGTACGTCACACCAAGTGTGGGACTCAAAGGACTCGGGTTAATGGAGAGGGGAGACTCGTCACGACCAGCTCATTTCTAGGATCCGGGTTAATGATCCGGATGAATCAGGACTCGCCCATCTCTAATTGCTTGGCCCTGCCCTGATAGTTTTCACCTGTGCCCATCCTCCTCACCTATAAATAGCCCTTGTGTTTCTTTTGGCGCGTTTCCACTACACGGCCTCGCTCGGCCCCGCTCGGTATGGCTGGGCCTCGTTAGGACTGGCTCACTTTATGGCGCATTTCCATTACAGGAACTGGGGCAGTATCTATAGTAACGCAGTGTAGGCGGAGCCGTGACGTGATCTTCAGAGGACCCCAGAAAAACAACACAGCCGTTAGCTGTTAGCACTCAGAGCTCACAGCTCCTCATATATGTTCAGAAACTAGACAAAAGTTAAACAAGTACAAACCACAGACTGCCTGTGTCATGGCGAATACAGTCGCTGCTTTATTTATGTCTGTATAGGCCGTTGTTGTGAGTGTGGACGGTCGGAGCATATATTGCGTTAGCTTAGCCAATCTCCATTTAGAAAACAAGCATTTTAAAAGGTTTTTCGCCTGCCGTCTGTCTGCAGACTTGACAAAGCATTAATTCATGGTTTTTACTAACCGGTATCAGTATGTTGTTACTTCGGCATCATTTTGAAACGTGTATTACAATTAAATCACGGTCAAATATGTCCATCTTGTTGTAGTTGTTGCCCCCTTGCCAGCGACGCTCTCTCTAGTTTAGCATACTCAGCCCGACTCAGCCTCGTTGTCTCTGGCCCTGGACCCACGATTTTATGAGGCCAGAAAAACTGTGAATTAGGACCCGCCGGCCGGTACTAGGCCAAGTGGAAACGCAACCAAAGACGGGCCGCTGACGTCACAGCCCTCTTAAACCGGGCTGCGGGCTGTAGTGGAAACGCGCCATTAGTTCCCTTGTCAGTTCGTTATGTTTCATGCCGTGAGAACCTGGGCCTTTTGACTCCTAAAACTTTACTTTGAGAAATATACCTTTTGTCCAGTGAGTTTTGTTTTGAAGTACGACTTAGTTTTTGTTATTTAACTACTTTCTATTTTTGGAAGTACGACTTAATTTTTGTTGTTAAACTACATTCTATTTTTGGACAACTGTCTCCGAGTCCTGCTTTTGGGTCCTGTGTCCTGTGTCTCGGTTCATAACACAAAGCCGTTTCTGTAAGTGGACAATATGCTTTTTTACGCCCACAAACAACCTCCTTGGTGGGGGTTATGATTTCCTTTGACTCTCATTTCATAATTCAGGTATACCAGGTCTTTATTATGAGAAAATGCAACATTTTTAAAAACAGCTCCCACAGCTCTTAAATTAGCCTTTTAGTGACTCCCAATAATTGGTTATTTGGTCTTAATTATTATTATTTATTTTTTATATTGTCTTATTTATTTATTAATTCTACTGTTGTACTGTAATACTTAGTAACTTTTGGATAATTAATTAATAATGAATAGTTTTTATTTTATTTATTTTCTTGCCTATTTTACCTCCTTGTACTCCATGATATCTTTTAAATCATGAACACACAGTATGCTGCATGCGTGCTAAAGGTTTTTTGACGCGACTTGAATTTCTTGTTTCCTGTTTGACTTGTGTTGTGTGATATATCGTTAAAGTGCTTTTCATATAATAGGAAATGTATCATTCTTAACTATTGATCTGAATTTTCTCAACAACTCCCTCTTCCTCTCTCTCCCTGCAGCGGCCATTTTGGACCATCAGTCGGCATGTGGTCGTGGTGAGCGCATGGCGTTGGGCCTGGCGAGGGAGAACATCAACAGTCTGATGGACGTGTCCTCCAAAGCCAGGGTGGAGGTGGACGTGTACGAGCTGCAGAAGGACTCCCAGTACGACACCACTGACACCAGTACGTCACTGTCTCACTCTTCTTTATTTTCTCCATCAACCTATTAGTTTGCAAGCTCATAGTCCTGTTATGAACCCGGAAATACCCAATTTCACTACCCCAAAGTTTTATGTTAGAAATGTATAGTAGGCTCTCCAGCACATAGAAACTGCTGGATGCTAACTCGCATATGTCGGGCAATTAGTACAATGAGCATAAGTTGCACTAATAAGCATTAATAATGACATTATAGCCTATGTGGACAAAAGTAAAATAAATGGCTTGGCCGATTTGGAGAATTTTAGAGTGGTTTTGGGGGTTATTCAGGATGCTGAATCCATTTCCAATGTGTTTAGGATAAGAAATGGCCGTTATAACCGGAAAGTGGCCATATTTGTACTCTGGGAGGGCTGATTCTGATATTTGTTGGTCAATTCGGAAGATTTAGGGGACTCTGGGTCATTTGGATTGGACAGATTGCCTATTTTTTGGAAATATTGTCCACAGTAGCAGTAATAATTTCCCTTTTGTGCTATCTATATCCAATGGTAGCAACACTACTCATGGTAGTCAAAATCAACCCACGAGAGAAAAAATATGGCCACTTTCTGGTTAAAACTGCATCCTCAATAACACCAAAGCCATCTTTTAATATTGTCTACATAAGCTTTAATGCCATTAATGATAATTAATGCAATTTATGCTAATGGTCCAAATTACCCAACATACGCAAGTAAGCACCCCCGGCTGCAGCCCCTCTTCACTCTGACATTAAGGTAGTCTTCTGGAAGCGCTCTGTGTGAGGAGGCAGACCTTTATTTAAGGAGGCGGTCAGCAGGTGCAGCTGTTGTTCCCTGCTCAGTGAACTTTAAATACCACACATTAATGCAGCCGCCAGCAGACAAACACACTTTACAGTGAACATCTGATAGTTAAATAGACAGACAGACAGACAGACAGACAGACAGACAGATGTCTGTGACTTTATAATTTTTTTAATAATAAAATAAAGTTAAACTTTACAAATTTAAAAGACAATATATACATATTCTCAGTTAAAAATAACTATATTAAGAGGATTATCTAAACATTATACAATATACAGAATACAACAGAATACTCTCTTATATACAACCCGGTATCACGGCAAGACGTGAACATGTGACGATTTACCATGCTGGGAGACGTGAAGATGTCACGATTTCGTCCCTTCAAACGTGACAGTTACACAGTATTGTTAACATGGCCCAGCCAGTGGAGAAAAACCCGGAAATGCCAAGCAAATGCTACCACGACGGTCGGTTGTTATTGTCAATATTAATATAATAATTATTTATTTTTTAATAGTCACACTCGATTTCGCCGATTTTCTTGTTGCCCCAGCTGGTCGACACCTCTTTTAGCAGAAACAAAGGCTACATTAATGTATTAAATCGATGTTAATCCATGTGTGTGGTTGTGGAATTAACGGACGTGACGTTGTGCGATTGCGTTGCCAGGCAACAGCTTGTGTTCATGTTCATTTACAAACTCTTCAACTAGAACCCTAGTTATATTTAAAAACATTTGAAAAGGCCTCACGAAATACTTTAATGTAAATTCAAATTCAAATGTGAAGGAATGTGTGTATAACAAAATACATCCGTCATAAACAATACCGGAAACAGACGTAGGCAAGATCCTCAGCTCGGTGATTGGATGTTTTAGCCGCAATGCACGTTGGGATATGGTGTTTATGCGATGTGAAATCCAGAATAAAAAATAAATAATACTTTATTCCGAGTGTGCTTGCTTTTCTCTTTGGAAGTCATCACAGAACGGCATTGTAATACACGGTTCGGCTGCATTAAATATTACACATCTGCCGTAGTTCTTTATTTATAGAGCCCTGATTAGAAGACTTCTGGACAAACAGGAACTGCCGCCGAAACTGAATACGTGACGTGGATCATAAATATATCAGCAATTAAACATCTTCAATTTCTCTTCACAATATACGTCTCCTTGCAGTATCAATACTAATTCTGCTGACTTTTATATTTGATCCAATTGGTAGACAGGCTGTATTTACACCATAACGGTGCACAGCTGATAGAAAGGGACACCTAGTGGTTAAAGCACGTTATTGAATTTTATTATTTTTATTATTAGATATTAAAGGTGGGGTAGGTAAGTTTGAGAAACCGGCTCGAGATACACTTTTTGTTATATTCCATGGAATGCTCTTAACCTCTTAAGCACGGCGGTCCCCCCATTGGACCCCTCCCACCGTTTTTTTTAGGTATAGTATCATCACTGAGCGATCCGAACTTGCGACAGGGGAAGCAAACACAGACATCACAACACGTACCTTTAGGGAGCATTTACGGCAGATCGTCTCACCGTAGCTGTCAATTAGGTCAAAAGACGTGTTCAATGGCATTAAAACGAAAAACAAAATGCTACAACTGTTGATCCATAGGTTGATAATGTACCTGTGCCTCAAAAGATTATTTATGATCCATAATTCCATTTTTTATGTAAAAATCGGAGCGGAAAAGTTAGCTGCTAATTGTAGCCACCGGTTTTGGTAACGCGTCACTCTCACTCCTTATTTGTTAACGTTTTGGTGTGTATATAACTTTCCCTCGATTCCATTGGCTCTAGCGGTTATAAAGAGATTTCATTCATCAAAATCGAGCAAGGGGGGCCAGAGATAGGTCAAATCCACCCAAATGACCCCAGAAGTGTTTTTTTTGCTAAATCTCTCTAAAAAGGTCAAATTTCACTTGTTTTGCATCAATCTTGATACAGGGTACTTATTATATGTTGTACTTTGGATTCCTAAAGCTTTTAGTCTACTAACCCACCATCCAAGGGTAGTTTTCGCTATAAGTAAAAAATAATTTTTGGACGGACACTATAATTTACAGTTTTTTACTATGTAAAATCTGAATTTTCTTTAAAATAAAAAACATCTATATTGATTCTGACTTTTCTACATCCAACTCACAGGTTTATCATTACTTTGAGAAAAAAGATTATTAATTTAACCCTTTTAGAAGGGAAGATATGGTCATTTGTTCTGGGAATGTCATTTTCGAGCCTGAGACCTGAAAAACAGGCTCAGGGCTTAAGAGGTTAACATCCCGATAGCAATGAATATCTTAAGTGCTATGACAAAATATCCATAAAAAAATGTCATCTGTGGAAGCCGTAATACTGTAAAAAGCACGACCAATCATTTTAGCCGGCCCGGCTAAAATAACTGGATGGCTTACCTGCCTGTCAGCCTTCCATCTGTGCACAAACTTATCTCGTGCCCTCATTGGTCATGTGCACGTTTGTGTGTGTTCGAGGAGGGGCTCTGTAAGGAAGTGGCAGATTTTTTCCGGTTGTGTATTTTCAAATTCTAGCGATCTCGAGCTGGTTTCTCCAAAATTACATACCCCACCTTTAATAGGAGGATGTGCAAAATAGACAAACTAATAAGGCTTTATTTAAACATTAAAGAATACTTTAGGTTAAGGTCTTCTTTTGAATAAGAAAAAAGCTTTGGGGTTATCTACAGATAAATATTAAGCCTGACAAAGTACTTAACGTCTAATATATTGCTTTCCTGCAATGTTAACTATGTTGAAGCACTTATTTTAACTGATATTATACATATTTATTATACTCTTATAAGATGTATGTAGATAGTATAAGAAATGTGCAGAATATGACGTTTAATGGTGGAGGTATACACACATATTGTTAGATGTCTTTTAATGCACTGTTGAGGAACCTGCGACCCAAGTTTTTCATTCATTGCATAACTACACCGTAGTTGTGTATATGATATGTCAATAAACCTTAGAAAATCTTGAAATCTTGAAAGGGATGTGAAAAATAGCCATTATATACAGTCTTTAATTAACTATTAGTAGAGAATAACGAGTAATGAATATACTTTATAGAGATCTGCAGATAAATGTTTAGTCTTCTCAAGCACCAACTATCAAATATCTCTCCTGATTGTTGGCACTTGACAATCACCTTCCCTGAATTTTACTCAGGTGTAACTAAAGCCTGATTTAAGGGTTGTTTATATTTCACATCATTAATCAGAATGTGGTCTAGTTAATAAAACATATCAAACATGATATTACTATTAACTTTATTGTGAAATAAATACACACAGCATACAATGCCATAATAACTTGTTATTATTAGTGTTATGTATGTACAACATCTGAAGATGTGTAGTTTTATTCATGTTTTCACATAATTTTACAGGATATTGCTATATTATTTCACATGACATTAATATCTGATTTGCAGACAGAAAGGTATATCCGTAATTTAACGGTAAGCTATTGAAATTCTGATTCCATAAATGTGTCTCCCATCACCCAAAACCCCTGACTATTTTCTCAACTCAGTATTTACATTCTTATATTCAAAGAAAATGTGAAAACGACGAGTCCCTGTCTATCAGCTGTGCACCGTTATGGCGTAAATACAGCCTATCTACCAATTGGATCAAATATAAAAGTCAGCCGAATTAGTATTGATACTGCAAGGAGACGTATTGTGTGAAAATAAATGTAAGATGTTGTTTAATTGCTGATATATTTATGATCCACGTCACGTATTCAGTTTCGGCGGCAGTTCTTCCTGTTTGTCCAGAAGTCTTCTCATCAGGGCTCTATAAATAAAGAACTACGGCAGATGTGTAATATTTAATGCAGCCGAACCGTGTATTACAATGCCGTTATGTGATGACTTTCAAAGAGAAAAGCAAGCTCACTCGGAATAAAGTATTATTTTATTTCACATCGCATAAACACCATATCCCAACGTGCATTGTGGCTAAAACATCCAATCACCGAGCTGAGGATCTTGCCTATGTCTGTTTCCGGTATTGTTTATGACGGATGTATTTTGTTATACACACATTCCTTCACATTTTAATTTACATTAAAGTATTTCGTGAGGCCTTCTAAAATGTTTTTAAGAGTTTGTAAATGAACATGAACCCAAGCTGTTGCCTGGCAACGCAATCGCACAACGTCACGTCCGTTAATTCCACAACCACACACATGGATTAACATCGATTTAATACATTAATGTAGCCTTTGTTTCTGCTAAAAGAGGTGTCGACCAGCTGGGGCAACAAGAAAATCGGCGAAATCGAGTGTGACTATTAAAAAATAAATAATTATTATATTAATATTGACAATAACAACCGACCGTCGTGGTAGAGCATTTGCTTGGCATTTCCGGGTTTTTCTCCACTGGTTGGGCCATGTTAACAATACTGTGTAACTGCCACGTTTGAAGGGACGAAATCGCGACATCTTCACGTCTCCCAGCATGGTAGATCGTCACATGTTCACGTCTTGCCGTGATACCGGGTTGCTTTTATACATACATATGTGTCCCCGGTGTGTCAGGGAACTCACGCAGCGTCAGAAAATAAAACCCTCTCTCTTTTCCTCCATACCCAAATCTCTAAAAACGGGGCTACAACGGAGCTGATCCAGATTTGCCGCCGATATGACATCAAATCGGCGGCGGACCCACAGCACTATCAGAAACGTTGCTATCAGAAACAATGCCCGACTGTTTTGGACGTAATATTGTCAGTGTTTACATTAGCATCGCTAACACTCAGAGCTAACCTGTACTGCACAGAGCATGTATGTGAAGAAGCAGGAAATAAAAAGGAACTCACCTTGTGGTATAACCGGCAAGAGAGAAAGCCTTTGAGCTCCATACTGTTTCAGAAACAATCCTTGATCTAATAATCCTTGATCTAATAATCCTTGCGTTTAATCACCGCAGCATTTTAGACAGTATCTGCCAGGTCCCGCATGAGCCGCTAAGGCTCCGCCCCCTCTTATTTATTTTTTCAGTAAAAAAAAAAAAGAAGCGTTTTTTTAATTTGTTTTATTTAGCCTTTATTTATACAGGTGAAAATCTAATTGAGACACAGGGTCTCATTCTCAAGAGAGACCTGTTTATACCCAGAATCAGCACTTTTGTAACGGGAAGAGAAATAGAGGCATATGAGGCTAGAATGGGTGATCTGTTTGGTTTTTTGATCAAAACACTTCATAGACATGTTTTTTATATGTTTTTATATATCTGAGACCTATAATATTGCCTAAAAATAGCATGATAGGTGACCTTTAAGAGAAGTGAGATGCAGCCTGGGTGTGGTGACGAAGGTCGCTGTGACCGGAGAGCTCTGAGAACAGATCTGAGAGCAGCTGAGAGGGTTATTGATTATCATCTGACAGCAGAGCAAAGAGACTCTTCCCCACGGAGAGGCAGTTAGTGTTTTTGTCAGAGCACACACACACACACACACACACACACACACACACACACACACACACACACACACACACACACACACACACACACACACACACACACACACACACACACACACACACACACACACACACACACACACACACTGTATATTCAGCAATCTGTGTACATTTGGAGTAGTTTATTTGTGTTCCTTTCAGAAATACTGTAAAAAAGACATTATATACTCCCCCCTTAAACAAAACATTAGTGCACTTCCACACATAGGCAATGCTACAGTAATCACATTGTAGTTAGCTAATCATCTATACTGAATGATTGGAATGTTACTTTACATTTGCAGCACAAAGGATTCTGGGTGCTCTGGGTCTCAGCCTGATGGACGCAGCATTAGACATAATCTGTTTATATTATTTAGAAATCAATCCAATGCTCTCCATAAACAAACAAAAATATCACATTCAATAGCGCTATAATCAATTTTCAAAAAAATGTTATACCGACAATGTAAACACCTAATAAAGTTATATTTTTTAAGAATTCTTTTTTAAATGCTCGCTTTAACCTGATTGAAAATGTAAAAATGTGTCCAATAATCTAATAACTTGGCCAATAATGTAATAAAATGTCCTGATATTGTAATGCATTTTTACTATAAATGAAACTGAAGATAAAACAGTGGTTCTCAAACTGTTTTGGTCTGACCCCTTTCAAACTAGTTAACACATGTTTGTCTGATAACAACAAACCACTGGCCAACTGTAGTAAATGACCCCCACTGTGCCCCCCCTGCTCAGCAGCAGACACACAGACAGAGTCAGGCTGAACAAAGCTGAGCATACAGCTGAGCATACAGCTGCTGAAGAGACAGATGTTTGCCTCAGGAGGTGGAGACCAAAAACAGAGCAAAGAGGAGAGGCAATGTTTGACTTGTTCTGTGTCTAAAATGTTCATACTTCTGTACTTACATGAGCTATTTAAGTGAATTAGTAAGTCACAATGCAAAGTGTGACAAAATGCACTATGTGTACCAAAACGTTGAGTGTGGAACACTAGACACTTCTAGCACTCAATGATAGCTAACTTTGCTACTTACAATTCAATACAGCTTTATTTATGAAGCACTTTAAAACCTGCAGACTAAAGTGCTTAAGTGTACTTAAGTGGCAAAGTCCATAGGGACTGGAAGGTCACCAGTTCAAGTCCCGAAAAGAGCAAGTGCTACCGAGGTGTCCCTGAGCAAGGCACCGTTCCCCACACTGCTCCCCGGGCGCCGTACATAATGGCAGCCCACTGCTCCTAACACTAGGATGGGTCAAATACAGAATGTAGATCTTCCCTCAGTGTGACTATTAAGGGTATATAAATTTAAAAAATAAATAATAATAATGTAATTTGCAGCTACGAACAGCACAGCACCATACAAATTCAATCGAAACATGATTGTTTCACTAACCACTATACTAGATTTGAGAAGAAGTCAATGTTAATTTAGTTAGCTGAGCAGTCTGTAAAGATTTGCTACCACAAATTTGCAACAGCGCTACATGGTTGAAATTCAGACACTGCCTGAGTGTTGACAGTGTACGACATGCAGTGTACTCAAGAGAGTATACACATTGAGACACAGCGCTACGGTCATCAAAGGGAAACAGAAAGACAATGAAGGATTGTTGCTCTGTGACTGCTTAGTTTGGAAATAAACAACTACAGCTATAATGTATCCAGTTGTTTCTACTGCCCCCACATGGCAAAACATGTTCTTTCAGCTGTATCTCCTGCTACTAACCTTTGTTTTCTCCATGTCTTTGCTGTTTTCTCTCGTAGTGTGTCAGATCTTACCAAAGGGCGTGGTTTCAGTGATTGGTCCCGCCGCTAGCCCCGCCTCCGGATCCACCATCAGTCACATCTGTGGGGAGAAGGAGGTGAGAAACATGCTTCTGCTTGGAATTAAAATATGTTCTGTATCAGAGTGAAGTCCAGTTGAGAAAACTAGTAATAAGTGTGGGATCTGCCAACCCAGTCTCACATCTAAACGTGTAATAACTACGTTGGTCCACAACTTGGGACGTAGTATTTCTACAAAAACGCCTCTGAAATTGTAGGATCCCTACGTTTTTTTTCACCATTCATTTCCAATGGCTGGCGTCTATGTCACGTGATCTTCAACTTTCTCTCCGCAGAAATAAAAAAACATGGCCGACCTTCGTTTTATTCTCGGTAGAAAATGCCTATTTTAAGGTAATTTGCCATTAAAATGCGTTTTGATGTCAGTTGATGCGAGAACTATGAGTTGTTATTTCAGATTATGTGTGCAGTGGATGTACATGATCTTTAGTTTGCTAGTTATTACGAAGAATACTTCAGGAAATTGTGTAAATACAACGTTTTCATTGTTACCAAGGTGGTTGCTAGGGACGCTGCTATCGATATTATGTCTGTTGTGTTGTGTAACTGTTTAATGGTGTTATCTTTATTGCTACCCGGCATCTCAAATTGTGGCATAGATACGTTATTTTCCATTATGCTGTCTATATATTGTCTTTATTATGCTTTAAACAGTGTCTCGGGCTTTGGCTATAGGGCGGCTCAAAGTATTTTGTCCGGCCGTTGTGAAGACTGCTTTGTTTATTGTCCTTGTTTTTGTTTTAAATAAAGCATATTCAATCGAGACATGCCAAACATGTGACGTCATATGACGCGTCGCATCTGTGCACAGGGAGGAGGGAGACCCCGAGATCCGTATTCCCCGTATTTTTTAAATAAAGAGATTTTCAATCACGGGCGCGCATCAAACGTGTGACGTAAAAGTATTAAAAGTATTAAAAGAGGTGAAAATCACTACAAGTCTGGGCATGTTGAGAGCTGTACATACACACACATTTCATAGTCTTATATTTCAACAGTTTTACGACAAACTGTGACTTTTTTGACATGGAAATTATTATTTAAGATTGACAAACATCATATGTGTAATTCGTGGCACAATTCAAACGGGATCGAAAGATAATCTTTCTCTCTCCATTGACTTCAATGCATACTTTTTCCGAAATAAGGTCCCATGGAGGAACCCGGAAGTTTGACGGACATTACCCACAATCCTCTGTAGCAACCATAGACTGTATAAAAACAATTAAATAATACATTATTCCGAGTGTGCTTGCTTTTCTCTTTGAAAGTCATCACATAACGGCATTGTAATACTTGTTTCGGCTGCATTAAATATGACATATCTGCCGTAGTTAACTCTATTTATAGAGCCCTGATGACAAGACTTCTAGACAAACAGGAACTGCCGCCAAAACTGAAAACTTGACGTGGATCTTAAATATATAAGCAATTAAACAACATCTTACATTTCTTTTCACACAATACGTCTCCTTGCAGTATCAACACTAATTCGGCTGACTTTTATATTTGATCCAATTGGTAGATAGGCTGTATTTACGCCATAACGGTGCATAGCTGATAGAAAGGGACACCTACTGGTTAAAGCACGTTATTGCATTTTATAATTGTATTATTAGATATGAATAGGATCCCTAGAAAGTATATTCTTTACTCGTCGTTATTCTCTACTAATAGTTAATTAAAGACTGTATATAATGACTATTTTGCACATCCCTTTCAAGATTTCAAGATTTTCTAAGGTTTATTGACATATCATATACACAACTACGGTGTAGTTATGCAATGAATGAAGAACTTGGGTCGCAGGTTCCTCAACAGTGCATTACAAGACATCTATCAATATGTGTGTATACCTCCACCATTAAACTGTCATATTCTGCACATTTCTTATACTAACTACATACATCTTATAAGAGTATAATACATATGTATAATATCAGTTAAAATAAGTGCTTCAACATAGTTGCTGGAGGTATAAACACATATTGATAGATGTCTTGTAATGCACTGTTGAGGAACCTGCGACCCAAGTTTTTCATTCATTGCATAACTACACCGTAGTTGTGTATATGATATGTCAATAAACCTTAGAACATCTTGAAATCTTGAAAGGGATGTGCAAAATAGTCATTATATACAGTCTTTAATGAACTATTAGTAGAGAATAACGAGTAATGAATATACTTTATAGGGATCCTATTAATATCTAATAATACAAATAATAAAATTAAATAACGTGCTTTAACCAGTAGGTGTCCCTTTCTATCAGCTGTGCACCGTTATGGTGTAAATACAGCCTATCTACCAATTGGATCAAATATAAAAGTCAGCCAAATTAGTGTTGATACTGCAAGGAGACGTATTGTGTGAAAAGAAATCTAAGATGTTTAACTGCGGACATATTTATGATCGGGGAGGCGTGTGGCGCAGTGGAATAGTGCGTTGGTGTTCGGAACAGGTTCAAACCCCACTGCAGTTAGCCTGTCGTTGTGTCCCTGGGCAAGACACTTCACCCCAAATTGCTCCTGTGGGGATTGCCCACAGTATAGAGTATGTAAGTCGCTTTGGATAAAAGCGTCTAACAAGTGACATGTGATGTAATGTAATGATCCACGTCACGTTTTCAGTTTTGGCGGCAGTTCTTCCTGTTTTCAGATAATAAACACCATTTCCCAATGTGCATTGCGGCTAAACCGTCCAATCACCGAGCTGAGGATCTTGCATACGTCTGTTTCCGGTGTTTATGACGATGTGAGATGTGAGATGTGAGACTGGGTTGGAGAATTGCACAGGGGAAAATAACGTATCTATGCCGAGGATTTTGTTAAACTAATATGTTTGCGCTGTGGACCAACACTATAAATTGACGGGGAAGGGGGTAGCAATAAAGATAACACCATTAAACAGTTACACAACATAACAGACATAATATCGATAGCAGCGTCCCTAGCAACCACCTTGGTAACAATGAAAACGTTGTATTTACACAATTTCCTGAAGTATTCTTCGTAATAACTAAGTTGAAGATCACGTGACATAGACGCCAGCCATTGGAAATGAATGGTGAAAAAAAACGTAGGGATCCTACAATTTCAGAGGCGTTTTTGTAGAAATACTACGTCCCAAGTTGTGGACCAACGTAGTTATTACACGTTTAGATGTGAGACTGGGTTGGATCTGCTGTAATCATTAAGCAGCAGATCACTCAGGACATTTCACCTCATTCATCACTGTCTCATTTTTCAATGTATCAATCAACTTAAATACAGACAGTCGGCCTAAGATCTTTGCCCTGTGGAGTTTAAATTGAAACAGAGCTGTTAAACTGTCAGTGTGAAAAAACTCTTAGTAGCTACCTCAGAAGACATATTGTGTTTGTCTCTCACCACACAAATATCATTCAAATATAAACTTATATTTGATATATTTATATGTTACATTGCTTAATAAGCACACATGGGAACCCTATGTTTTTACTTCCTGTCTGTCTTCTTCTGCTGTTCCCTTTAGTGTTTAGTTCCTGTCTGTCTTCTTCTGCTGTTCCCTTTAGTGTTTACCTCCTGTCTGTATTCTTCTGCTGTTCCTGTTAGTGTGTACTTCCTGTCTGTCTTCTTCTGGGTTGCAGTCGAATTGTCCAAAACTCAGCTCCTATTGTATTTTCCTAACCACTATTCCTTGACCTCTGTGTGAAACATCACACATCACCACTCAAACATGTTTAAAAAGTTTAACAAACCCCACACAGCTCAGTAAAGCACTATGAAATGTTGACTTTATTTGATAATTTCAGTAAAAAAGTAACGTTCATATTTCTCCTTTTGATTATTATAGTGTTTAACGTTCAGAACAAAGAACTTTGGCAAGTTACAGTATAAGTTGTAAATTGCTTAATAAGCACCGTAACTTTCATGATACGCATTTCTCGGTCACGATCGGTTGTTTCCGTGAACGGCCGAATGTTGTGTCACAGTAAATGTTGCAACCGCAAGGCATTGTGGGACATCATTTTCTCCTTTCCTTTCGTAAAGGAAAGTCCAGTGTTTCCTAAGCTAAAGGAGGTTATAAAGGAAGTTTCAAACCTCCTTTCCATCATCCGTTAAAAGCCATCACAGATCCAACTGGTGGAAAATGTAAACCATTGAAACTTGTTTCAACACAATTCACCATACGGATGTTATGAGTGGAAAACACCTTCACTACGTCATCATGGGGATTTTCTCTGGACAGATGACCTGGATAGGAACCAGAATGGATCCCCCACAGACCAGGGCCCTGTCAAGGGGGGGGGGAAATTATAAGTGGCTGGATCTGTGCGGATGAGTGCGATTTCACATACAGTAATAGTATAAGGTTAAAGGTTTATGAAAAAGCTTAAAGCTTGCAGTGACCCTGTCAACTTTTTTCTTTAGTTCCACCATGAGACCAAAAAAGTTCTCTTGAAAACAAGAATCTGATAAGCTGCTCAAATTCTTGTGAGCCAGAGGATTAATCCTTTCCCTGAGCTTCTATTTTCCATTTAAAGCATGTTGGAATTGTTACATATTAATGATATATTTCTAAAAAAGAATCCAATACTCCCTTTGATATGAATGTTTGATCTGAGTGGAGGTGAACAGAACTCTGAACAGAATGGAACACTTTTCTAATATCTCTGATGATCTGAGCTCTGCTCTCTTTTCAGATATTCTTTTTGAAAGCTGAACAAAGACTTGATTATCAGCCAGTGTCAACGTCTGATTAAAGCTTTGATTCCGGTTATCTGAACTCTGTAAAGCCTGTAAGGTTTGATGTTCATAAAAAAAAACACATTTGTTCACTTGATGTCATCACCTCATCATTTCCCCTTTCTCATGTTCAATGTTTCCTCCCATTTCATGTCCTTCTCTTTGACTTTGTTCCCTTTCTTTGACTTTTCTTCCCATTTCATTATTTTCCCTCACAATCCATCATTTGGATCTCACATGAAGATTATCCAAAGAAAACCCTCAAGCTGACAACGTTTGTTTACGTAATAATTCCTCTTCCTCCCCCTCCGAACCTTTTAGATCCCTCACGTAAAGATCGGTCCGGAGGAAAACCCAAAGCTGCCGTACCTTCGCTTCGCCTCTGTGACTCTGTACCCGAGTAACGAGGACCTGAGCCTGGCCATCGGGTCTATGCTGCGCTCCTTCGGATACCCCACCACCAGCCTTGTGTGTGCCAAGGCAGAGTGTGAGTCTGTCTATGAAGTGTGTGTTAATGTCTTTGTGTGAGTGTGTGTGTGTGTGTGTGTCAGGGACCAGGCAGTAAGGTAACAGGACACAGGAGACTAGGTTTTTTATTTACCCAAAAATAAAAAATAAACACTATAAACAAACTTTAATAACTAGGCCTAGAAAATAAGTCAACATAAATTAACTGTAATAAATATATCAGCTACTAAACAGGTGTTTACAGAACAAACCAACCTGCCACAATGACCAAACAAGGAACATAAATAGTGGCTTGTCCAAACCAAATAGAAAACAAGGGGTCATTAAGATAAACAGGATACAAGAGCTCACGGACAAAACCCAAACGAGATGGAGCACATAGTTAGTCCCAATTTGGCCCAATTGGCTGCTTGCAGTATTTATCAACACATTCTCACTCACAACTCGTCCTATCGTGACGTTATGTCAGGATCCCTTGGCGTCACTATCAAACACAGTGGGGGCCCTAAAGCGTCGATTTTCAACTACCAGGGAGTCCCATTGACTTGCATAGACCTCCCTGAACGTTGGTAATAGACGAGTTGGGATCGCGGAGAAATGCTCTCCGCAGACCCATTCTCACAGCGTTATCAACCTTTTTCTTACTCAATATCAAGCCACACTTATTGTTTTTACTTCTTTATTTTAATTGTATAATGTCGGACTTTTGTTGCCGTCAGTTAGGGGGAGATTAGGGGCTCAGAATACTGAAATCTGTATTGTTTCATCGTTTTTTCCTTCTAATTTTGTATTATTTTCTAAACCACACACTGTTATTTACTCAACAATAAGACACAATTATCCTTGTGTTTATTTATGTGTTTGATTGTATAATGTCAGACTTTTGGAGTCCGTCAGGACCAAGCCCCAAGGAAGTGCTCAGAACTCTGAAGAAAAATATTCGTAGTGGCCAACGGCGGTACTACATTTTACGTATCAGTCTGTGACGTCACTGGGCCCAGAAATACTTTTTCCCATTGACTAACATTGGGAAAGAGACGTCTGTAAATCAGCGGATAATTTTTTGAATAAACTACCCAGTATGAACTATTTTATAGCCCTTATTATAATCATTAGGTCCTTAAAGTTGTAAAATGCGCTAAAAGCCGAATCCTGATTTATTTTCTCTCTCCATTCATTCTACTGAGCCAAGAACAGGAGCTCGGGGGGCGGGGCTTAAGGGGAAACTCAACTGCGCATGCTCTATGAGCGCACATGCCAGGCATGACGGGTAATATGTGACGTGTTGCTCTCATTCATTTCAAAATAAGAGTTAATTCACATTAAAGACAAGAAACATAAATAACAAATCTAATAAGAGCCACAGGGTTAAAAAAAAAAAAAAAGTCACGAAAGATTTAAAGAGCCATTAACCTGTTAACCTGTTAAGCACCAAGCCTGTTTTTCATGTTTCAGGCTCGAAAATGACATGCCCAAAACAAATGATTACAACTTAACTTCTAAAAGGGTTATATGAATAATTTATTTTATCAAAGCAAGGTTACATCTGTGAGTTGGATGTAGAAGTGTCAGAATCAATATAGATGTTTTTTATTTTAAAGGAAAATTCAGATTTTACTTAGTAAAAAACTGTAAATTATAGTGTCCGTCCAAAAATTCTTTTTTACTTATAGTGAAAACTACCCTTGGATGATGGGTTAGTAGACTAAAAGCTTTAGGAATCCAAAGTACAACATATAATAAGTACCCTGTATCAAGATTGATGCAAAACAAGTGACATTTGACCTTTTTAGAGAGGTTTAGCCAAAACCACCCCACCTCTGAGGTGATTTGGGTGAAAATGTTTTTTTCCCCATATCTCTGGCCCCCCTTGGTCGATTTGGATGGTTGACACCTCTTTCTGACCGTTAGAGCCAATAGAATCGAAGGGGGGGCCCCCACACACACTCGTTGTGAAAACAAATGGTGGGGGCTTCGCGCATGTAATTTTGCAGCAGAGTGGACCGATCTCTCGCTCTGACATTTGGAAACGAAAAAGCAGTTTTATTGCTTATTGATTATCAGAAATCATTTCAAAGAGGACACAGACACATTGGATTAACCTATGGATTAACTGCAGAATTTTTTATCGTTTTAATGCCATTGAAGACCAGTTTTGACCAAGGTAAGCCATGTTAGCGTTTCTAGCTACCTAGCTCCACATGTTATGATGTACGCTTTCGTTTATAGCATCGCAAATGTTTATCACTGAGTGTTGAGGTATTTTACACAGATTCTGTGTCTCCAGGAGATGCAAAACGAGGGGTTGGCTGTGCATCTAGGATAAGTAATAAGGGAGTTATGAGTGAGTTTAGGTGCAGTTTTAGGTTACATTTTTTCGCTCGTGGCTAATTCAGAGGCTGAGTGTTAGCATTGTGTTTTTTTTTTAATTTTTAATTTTAAAAAGATCAGTTAGCTGAGTTTCTTCCCGTTACATGGATATAAAACATTCATAGTTTATTAAATATTAAGATTCCTTAGACGTTGTTTCCTGCAAATGACGCGTTTATCCGCCCGGTACCGGGGGGATGGTGCGTAACAGGTTAAGCCCGAGAGACCCTGGTACCGGGGCACTGCCGCAACATCTTGCAGGAAACAGTGTCTGAGGGCATGTTCATTTAATAAAACTATGAATGTTTTATATCCATGTAACGGGAAGAAACTCATCTAACTGATAATTTTTTTTTTTATTTCAAAAGAAAACCTACAATGCTAACACTGAGCCTCTGAATTAGCAACGAGCGAAAAATGCTAATACCTTACTGCACCAAAAATCACTCACAAAACCTTATTATTTATGTTTTCACCACATCCAACACATCGATTCACATCGTGAGGTGACACAGAATCTATTGACACCGACATTACCACTGAATTATACGTATTTGCGACGTTATAAGCAAAAACGGACATCAAAACAGGTGACGCTAGGTAGCTAAAAATGCTAAAATGTTTACCTTGGCTCTGTAGTCTCTCCAAAGTGGTCTTCAATGGCATTAAAACGATAAAAACGCTGCTGAAGTTAATCCATAGGTTAATCTAATGTGTCTGTGTCCCTTTGAAATGATTTCTGTCAAAGCTAGAGATAGGTTCACTCTGATTGAAAATTACATGCGTGAAGCCCCCACCTTTTCTCTTCACAACGTGTGTGTGTGGGGGACTCCCCCTTCGATTCTATTGGCTCTAACGGTCAGAAAGAGGTGTCAACCATCAAAATTGAGCAAGGGGGACAGAGATATAGAAAATCCACCCAAATGACCCCAGAAGTGGTTTCTTTTTGCTAAATCTCTCTAAAAAGGTCAAATGTCACTTGTTTTGCATCAATCTTGATACAGGGTACTTATTATATGTTGTACTTTGGATTCCTAAAGCTTTTAGTATACTAACCCATCATCCAAGGGTAGTTTTCACTATAAGTACAAAATAATTTTTGGACGGACACTATAATTTACAGTTTTTTACTATGTAAAATCTGAATTTTCTTTAAAATAAAAAACATCTATATTGATTCTGACTTTTCTACATCCAACTCACAGGTTTATCATTACTTTGAGAAAAAAGATTATTCATTTAAACCTTTTAGAAGGGAAGATATGGTCATTTGTTCTGGGAATGTCATTTTCGAGCCTGAGACCTGAAAAACAGGCTCAGGGCTTAACAGGTTAAGGAGCTTACTTAAAATAATACACATTTAGAAATATCACTATGAATCCTTTTAGCAGTTTTCCAGGACTGTATTTTATTACGAGCATGCGCGGCGTGAGAGGTGAGAAGGGCTGAGAGCTCCTGACGGCGTGCCAAAACAATGGTATAAAAACTCGATGAATAGTTCCTATCGATACAATTATCTCGACACATCCTAAAGTGATTACAATATACTTCGGTATAGGTGAAATCACTTCGGTAAATCCACAAGAGACACTAAAAGTAGCTGATGAATACAAGGCAACAAACAAAAATGCCGACCTCAGGAGGAGGGCCCACCTACAACGCAAGGTTTGATGAATTGGAATCAAAACTGGACAAACTTCTTGAACTTCAAACTTCAACAAACACATTGTTGAACTTGGTAGTTAAGAGAGTGGATGCTCTCGACACACGAATGGAGTGTTTGATGAGTGAAATGCACGATTATGGAAACAAGTCAGACGCGCAGGAATGCCGAGTCACTGAGCTGGAGAGGAAGTTGCAGCAAGCTACAGAATACATCGATCAGCCGGAAAACCGACACCGTCAAAACAACTTGAGACTACTGAACGTGCCAGAAAAAGAAGAAAACGGTATGTCGATGATACGTTTCTTGATTAAAATCTTTGAGGAGACATGGAGTCTGAACCTTAAAGAAGATAATGCCAAATTCCCTCGGGCCATCATATTTAGGCTGCACCATTACCAGAAGAAATTTGACATCTTGAAGCTGTCAAGAGGGAAAAAATATGGAAGTAACTTTAGAGTGGTGACAACTGCGCTCGAAGAGAGCTGAATTCTGGCCGCTAAGAAAACAATTGCACACCATGAATATCAAGACCTATCTACGACACCCGGCAACACTCTGTGTGGACGAGGTAAGAGTGGACATATAACTATTAAATTGAGATTAAGAATCGGGTATATAACTGCAGTGGGCCAGCCTTTAAGTCAAATAATATGGCATAGCGGAATTGTTTTCCTTACGACTTATTTAAGTTAAGAATCAAATAAAATGCAAAGGACATAATCTGCCCTAATAGAAATGATGTACGAACTTTAATAAAAAACACGGATCTATACTAACTGATTAATGCACACACAGACTCTGCTGCACCTTGACGTTGACTCACTATATGATGCCTCTGACTAAGATACTCAGATAAATCAAGAAATACTGGATATGAAAAAGCTGAGGAGGGGATGAGTGAAGGAGTAGAGAGAGTGTATCTCTCTTTCTCTTCACCTTTCCCTCCCACAAAAGGATATGGCAAAGAGGCTAAGATGACTGCA